CAGATTAAAGTTAGGATAATATAATTGACATTGCTGGATTCCTTGTAAGACCAGGAATATTTTGAACATAAATGTCATATATTTTGCACAAAAGATAACATATTTACTCAGAGTAAACATTATATCTAAAATTTGTATGTCTAATGCAAAATCTATGATGTTTATATTCAAAATGATCATCAAATTGTAAGAATTCTAGCAATGTAAATTATATTCTGACCGGGTAATTTGTATGAATTTTATGAGCTAAAACAAATATCTTCAGCTCATAAAAAAAAATATTCTTCACATGGTAACAGATGGTCGGTCAGTCCCTCCCTCCCCCCACCCCCCACCAACCCTCCCTACCAGTTGTGTGGGAAAACCAGAATATTTACCTTTTTAGTAATAAATAATACCTCAAACTAAAGTTAGGATAATATAATTGACATTGCTGGAATCCTTGTAAGACCAGGAATATTTTGAATACAAATGCCACATATTTTGCACAAAAAATAACATATTTACTCAGAGTAAACATTATATCTAAAATTTGTATGTCTAATGCAAAATCTATGATGTTTATATTCAAAATGATCATTATATTGTAAGAATTCCAGCAATGTAAATTATATTCTGGCCGGGTAATTTGTATGAATTTTATGAGCTAAAACAGGCAGGCAGGCAGGCAGGGTGGCGGGTGGGGCGAATCTAAAAATAGCGTCTCGAGCCGGACACTCTCCGCGTATACGTGGAAAAACCCGCGTTAAGTGAAAGTTCGGCTCTGGCGAGGCACCGCGTATACGTGAAATCGCACTAAGCAAAACCGTGTTAAGCGGGGTATTACTGTATTCAAAATATTCCTGGTCTTGCAAGGAATCCAGCAATGTCAATTATATTATCCTAACTTTAGTTCGAGGTATTATTTATTAATATACCTTAAAATCTAGTGTTTTCCTCCAAACATTTCTCAGAGAGGGAGGAGCCAGCGAGTGTGAGAAGAGGGAGGGGGGAGAATTGCGTCCATTATTTGAATGGAAATTAACTTGGCACTGTATTTCTCTATTTCTCTTAAATATTAACTGTGTGTGTGCGTACCATCATAAAATTAAGATGTTATTTTTATTAGAATATAGGTATTGTGTTGAGAAAAGGTGGAGTTTGGGGGTCGGCCCGGTCTCTATTTCAATTAATCCCATTTGTTATGTTGTTCACTTTACGCGGCCTCCGTGGGTTCAATTGACCGCGTAAAGCGAGGGTTCACTGTATACTGTATACAGTATTACCCCGATTTACGCAGTCAATTGAACCCGCGGAGTAGCGCGTAAAACAAGAAACGCGTAAATGGAATAACAGAACATATGTGATTAATTGAAATAGAGACTGGGCCGACTCCCAAACTCCACTTTTTCAGACACAATACCTCCGTTGTAATAAAAATAACATCTTAATTTTATGATGATATGCACAGACAATTAATAATTAAGAGAAATAATATTAGGTTTTTTAACACTTACATTAGTAGAAAAGATGGCTGGGCGCCACGGGGATGGGTTCCGAGGCAGAGGGCATATTATTGGCCCTCACCTGTATTACTTGTATCAATTGTATCACTATCCACCACAGAGGCTTGCAGGGCCTCTTTGTCGAACCCCTCAAAGTTCATAGAAGTCCATATCCTCACTATCACTGACTTGGGCCGGCTGTGGTGGGTGGCGGGTGAAGAACTCGGTAATGTTCTGATGACTGGGCGACCTTGTGCGCACCTTGCCCGCGCCGCTTCCCACGTAAATGAGTAAATTCACCACGTAAATCGGGCATCCCGGTTCTGGTAAGGTACCGCGTAAATGACCAAACGCGTAAACGAGAACCGCGTAAATCGAGGTTCAACTGTATATAAAAAACTATCATTTTGTAGTGTACTCACTGATGGGCGGAGGTTGGTCAGGATAGTATACAGTCTCTCCTCGACTTACGACAGGGTCCCGTCCCGACGACCAGATCGTAAGTCGAAAATGTGAAAATAATACATAGAAATTCTAAAATGAATTACGGTACAAGTAATCAATAATGAAAAATGAATAAAGTGTTACCGTGCACTTACCTTTAATGTAGTCAGTTGAATGCACACGGAGCTTCAATAATTTTTTAATTAAACATGGAGACTACAATAATTGGATGAAGCAGAGGAGGAGACAGGGCTGGGTGGGTCATCAATTTCGCTTTCTTCAGACAGAATAACATACTTGCTTGTTGAAGGTATTGGATCATCTTTAGGGAGTGAAGAGGCAGCAGTGGTGGGAAGTGAGGAGACAGCAGTGGGGGGCTTCTTAAAATATATGTCCAATTTAGACTGCACAGTTTGCCTTTTCTTTTCATTGTAAGTCTCCCTGTAGCAAGCAAGTGCATCTTGGATCAGTCTGTCAACTTTTGCAAAAGGCTCAACATTTTGATCCATTTCTTCAAATATTTACTTCCCCTTATCAATAGTTGCAAATGCCTCAGCCATTTGTTTCACTGAAAACTTTTTGGGAGGTGCAGGTTCTTCTTCTACATTTTGTCTCTCTTCTTCCTCTGCAATTTTCTGTGCATCCAGTTCAATAAGATCCTCGTTACTTAGCTCTTCTGCTACACTTTCAACCAACTGCTGAACGTCTTCATTATCAATTTCTAACTTCAGCTGTTTACCCAACTGCACTATCTTGTTACTAATCTCAGAAATTGCTTCATCTTCATTAAATCCTTTGAAACTGTTCACATATCTTTTCAGGACCTTCTTCAATATTCCATTCATGCACTGACCTGTAACTTCATCCCATGCTGCAGCTAAATTCTTTGTACATTGCAAAATGTTGTAGTCCTTCCAAAACTCTGAGCATTTTCTCACCTTCAGTAGCAGCAACAGCCTGAGCGAAGGTCGTACGTAAATAATACGCTTTAAAAGCAACAATAGCGCCTTGATCCATGGGTTGGATGATAGAGGTGGAAAGTAGACTACCTTAACATCAGGGTGCAGGTCATCCAGGTGTGGTGGGTGTCCTGGAGCATTATCTAAAATTAATAAAATCTTGAATGCAACCCCTTGTTGCAGACAATACTCCTTGGCTCGTGGAATGAAACAACTCAGGAACCAATCCTCAAACAGTGCTAGGGTCATCTATGCTGTCTTATTACTGCGAAAAAACACTGGCAGTGTGTGCTTGCTGACATTTTTAAAAGCCTTTGGGTTCTCTGAATGATATATCATGAAGGGTTTTACCTTGAAACCAGCTACATTCCTCCCCAACAGAAGGGTGATTCAGTCCTTGAATGCCTTGAATCCCGGCATGGTTTTCGCCTCTTTGTGGATATGTGTCCGTTCTGGCATTCACTTCCAGAATAAGCCAGTTTCATCCACATTAAATATTTGCTCAGGCAAATAATTTCCCGCCACGATGACACGATCTAGCTCCTCCTTAAAAGCTTTGGCAGCACCCACATCAGCACTTGCTGCCTCTCCACTCACCTTTACACTGTGCAAACTGTAACAGTTTTTAAACCTTTGGAACCACCCATGACTTGCCGTTAAATTTTGGTCGCACTCATCTCCTGCCTGCTCTTTCAGGCTTTCGAAAAGGCTTCTTGCCTTAGCCTGTATAGTTAGAAGGCTTAACGGTACACGCTTTTGCAGTTGCTCTTCCCATCCACATCACAAGTAATTTTTCCATCTCATGAAGAGGACCTTGTCTTTTTTTCGTTATTATTGTTCCCTTTATAGGTGCTGATCCTTTCACTACCTAACGATTTCGTTCCTTGTCCTTCAAAATTGTTGATATCGTCGAGTGAGAGAAGCCAAGGTTGCGTGAAATGGTTGCTACCGTTTTTCCATTTCATATTTCATTATCATTTTCATCTTAAAAGTAATTGACTGTCTCTTTTTCTTCTCAGCACCACGAGAACTCTCACTTTTGCGCTTTTAAAGGGAATTAGAAATTTTTTTTTGTCAGCACACAGCGCGATCACTAACGATAACAACGATGGCCAAACACCAACTGAGCGGGCTACGGCGTGGATGCTGTACACCATGAGACGGCCCAGCCTACGCTGTCGTATGGGACCGAAACATTTCGGTACTAGAAAATACGTAATTTGGAAAATATTTTATATGACCACGGCGGTCGTATATCCGGGTTATTGTAAGTTGAGTGTGTCGTAAGTCGAGGAGTACTTGTACACTGTTGTGGGGGTTAGACCTAAAGCAGCAGCTAGGTCCACCCAACGCTCCCCTTTTCAAAACGGTTTAAAACCTCCATTTTCATAGCATAGCAAGGCTAATGGTCTTACATTGCTTCTTCACAATACTAACACTTGGTGGGCGCTTGGAAGCAATTTCAACTGGTTACTGTACAGTATTAAGAGCAAAAACACTTAAAACACGCATGAACTCTGTTGAAGCCGAAGAAAGACTGGCGAGAGAGAGGGTGATGCGCCATAAAAAGTAGTCCTTGAAGATGCAAAAACGACATTATATCGAGTCATCGAGACGTTAACTGAATTATTGGTATCTACAGAGTAGCGACATTATAGCGAAACAACATTATCGAGGGCAAAGTTAAACGAGGACTTACTGTACAGTATCCAGAAAAAAAATTCACTTTCATGCATTCTAGTTTTTAGGGATGCTATTACTTTTTTTTATGGGCATTAGCTCAACCAGGATTAGGGGACGGAAATAAAATAAAATAATAATAATGATTATGATGATATATAATAAAAAATAAATAAAATAAAATAAAATAAATTACAATTATAATAAAAGGAAATATTAATAGTACAGTACTAATAAAAATTAAAATAATAATAATAACAATAATAGTAATAATAATAAAAAGCCATAAATAAATACAAACTAGCAATAGTTGCAATATTTTTTCTCATCTAAAATTCTAAGAACACTTCCAGACGTTCTAGATTTTATAAGTACGTACTGTAGTGTATTACAGTAGCAACTTTACCTGAGGAAGTACAAAAGTACAGTATTCTTATCAATTGAAATGCAGTTTATTATCAAATTCATTATGTACATTGGAATTTATGATAAGATGATACAGTATCATATTCAGTACTTGATTAGTGGTGTGCTCAAACTACAGTATTCCTAAATGATTTCTTGTACCACTCTTCTTTGAATGAAAATAAAAAAAAAGCCAACCAAGTTTCAAATTAATTCATCTAAAAGTGCAAGACAAGTTGTAGAGAAAAATTGAAAGCAACTGAGGGCCTTCTGCATCTTGCCTGAAAAACATTATAAAACCACACAAAATGCAACAATGAGATTACATCACTAAAAAGAGACATTGATAAGGTTAATTACTCAGAGCAAGACATAAAGCTTGATACAGTACAGTATTATGGACTTTTAATAGGTCAGAGTGGAACATTAAGGAGTTCCTCCAGTTGTTCTTCTGTCATATCCTCAAGATCTTCACATTCTTCTTCATCATCAGGGTCATAGTTCACATCATTTACCTGAAAATAAAACACAATAGTAGGAAAAACTGAGCTTAAATAAAATTCATACAAAACATTTAGCTACAGGGTGATTCATGTGCCCGAGGCCCCAATATCTTCCCGTTGGCAACTTGCCAGCTTGACTGTTGGCAACAAGGGCTGGAGCCTATAGGTTGGCACCTTTTTGTTGTTTAATCATTTCTTTCTCTCATTATGTGATTGAACAGCATGTGTTTCTCGTCTGCTGGTGCTGTGTGATGAGATTGTTGAAACAATGTTGTATGGCTTTCAGCCAATCTTCTGGACAGTGCTCGTCGCTCTGGGAAAGACACTTTTCCTGGGGATGATGAGATAACCTACTCTGTCCTCAACGCCTGTACTAATATTCCTAACGGCCATTTGCTCGCTCTCTACAATATGTCTTATGAACATGGGGTTCTCCTGTCTAACTGGAAAAATGTCACTATTATCCCCATCCCTAAGCCGGGAGACCCTGGGGAATATCGACCGATTAGTCTTACCTCCTGTGTTTGCAAGATGATGGAGAGGATACTCCATCGTCGCCTTCTTCACACCATAGGCGGCTTCCACAACTCCCTTAATGGTTTTATACAACATCACAGCACAGCACACTCCATTGCTTCCTTTTATTGCAATCAGACTGCCCACGTCTCGTCTTCCTTGATATCAAGGGAGTCTTTGATACGTCTCAGCCTGCTCTCATTTTAGCTGAGCTTGTGCGGTTAGGGGTTAAAAGGCGACTTCTTCGATGGATCGCCTCTTACCTCACTGGACGTCAGGCTTGGGTTCGCGTTGAAGGCTCTATATCCCCTGTTCAAGAAATGAACCTTGGCACCCCTCAAGGTGGAGTCCTGAGTCCCACCATGTTTAACACTCGTGCACTCCATTGCATCTCTCCCATGCCCGATAGAAGTTGTCAACTCAGGATATGCCGACGATGTCCTCCTCCAAGCCCCTGACTACCTCAGCATGCAGGAAACCCTTGATCTGGTCTCAAGAGTGTGATTCATTTGGTTTCCGTCTATCAACTGCGAAAACAAAAGCCATGTGGCACGGTCATGTTGTACCCCACCCCTTCTCTTATCAGGAATGCCCTTAGACTGGGTTAATGAGACAAAATACCTGGGTGTGTATGTAACTGGCACACGTTGTCAGATCCTTGAAGTCCGCTATCTTCGAGACATATGCTTTTGGCGTCTCGCTCCCCTCTCTACCATGTGCAGGGGTTCCCTTGGTGCCACCATCTCTGTACTTCTCACCATGTGCAGGGGTTCCCTTGGTGCCACCATCTCTGTACTTCTCACCATGTACAAGTCCTTTGTACGTTCCTGTGTCGACTACGCCACCCCTGCCCTCGTACATTAGTCGGACTGCTGTCAACCGTCTCTAAGTTATCCAAAGGAAAACTGCTCGTATCATCCTTGGGGCTCCTCAGTGGACACACTCTACTTCTCTATATACCGAACTTGGTCTTTCCCTCTTACAGGATCGTGTCCAGGAGTTTTACCTAAAAACTAACGTTTCTATTTTACGGGATCCTCGAGGCAACTCTGTCCAAGCCAACTTGACTCCTGCTGTCCGAGGCCGACCTCCATCTAAAGACAGTGGCGAGAGTCACTCATCCGAGCCATTCAGGAACACGACCTCCTGCCTGATATTGTTGGTTCGTCTCCTTCTCCCTGGCTGGATTTCCAACCTGAAGTGATTGCCCTCGGTGGACCGCTCCTGAAATCCCACGTGAACCCTGTTATTCTCTGCAAATACCACCTCTCCAGGATCGCCCACTGGTCCTCAGGTAGAGCCATCCTCTACACTGAGGGCTCTGTTGACCCTGCTACAGGTAGGGCCGGGGCTGGTGTCTACATCTCCCGTCCTGATGCCCCTGAGCCTATCAAACTCTCCCTCAGAGTTTCTGACAGGGCATCCTCCACTCAGGCTGAAGTGATAGCCCTCCTTGCTGCCCTATTCGCTGAGGAAGAAGTTGGTAGTTTGTGCCCCTTGCTTGTCTGCTGCGATTCCAGGTCTGCTCTCAACGGGATCGCATTTGGATCAGGGGAAAATAAGGACCCCATCCTCCGAATACATGGATTAACATCAACACTTCAGGATGCAGGCCGTCCTGTGACATTCATATGGATACCCAGTCATGTCAGTATCTTGGGGAATGAGGCAGCAGATGGCCTTGCCAAGACTGGCTGTAACAAGGCAACACCTGACTACGTTGTTCTTCGAACACATTTACAGCTTAGGACCCAAATTCACTGCAAACAGAGAGAAGCTTGGGAAGCAGCCATCCCCCTGGATTCCCCGCCCACCTGGTACGATGTCCTCTGTAAACTTCCTGACCTCTCGTATGTCTATGGGAAAGGGTCGCGGAAAATGGACATGATTGCTGCCCGTATCATCATGGGGTATGACTTTGCTTAGGAGATTGGTATCCCCGCCTCCCCTGAGTAACTCGCTTGTGCATTACAGTGGTCCCTCGGTTAACGAGCACAATCCGTTCTAGAAGGTTGCTCGTTAACCAAAAAACTCGTTAACCAAAACCATTGTTTCAATGGGTTTTTGGGTAATTGGTTCCAGCTCACTGAAAATTGCCTAAATTCAACAAAAAAAGGTAGAAAAGTACACTTATTTTGAGGTGTGTATGTAGAAGGCTCCTGGATGATGATGATGATGGGAATTAGAATGGGGTGGAGGAGAAGGGAGAAGAGAAGGCATTGGGGTGGAAGAGAAGTCACCCCATGGTGCCATTTCACCCATAAAATTTTAGTTCTCTTGGTGTAATTCAAAATTAATTTCTTTAAATCAAAACTGCACTGCATTGTATATTGTCAATATGTAAAATAAATTTCAAAATAACCAATAATTTGCTTGCAAACACAGAAAAAAAGCGTTTAGTTGAAGAGAGTCTCAAGCAAGATGTTACCTCCATCGAAAAGACACAAAGACTGACGCCTGTAGGGTGTGTTGAGAGGCTGGATGGCGCGCATAAAACTAGTTTCATTACCTTCAATTATGTTCAATAATTGTTAAAATGACTAAAAAATTTAATATTAAACTTTTAAAATTATTGAATAGTACAAACTTCTTGATATTTGCTAAAATGGTGAGGAATTTAAGCCCTAGAACCGATAACTGTATTGGCGGACTAATACTACAGCTGGTGGACCGCCAAATGCAAGCGAAAACATGTTGAGGTCGGCTTGTAAGAAACTCGTTAATAGAGGGATTGCTCGTTAACCGAAGTTAAGAATCTTATGGAAGGTAACTCGTTAACCGAGGGACCACTGTATGCAGAAGACCCGACAGCCGCACCCTTGTCCACTACCTCCTAAGATGTCCTCACACACACACATCGCCTGCTGGACCACCACTCCATGACCCCCTGACGGAGACACGATGATCCTCCCCGTACTAGCCAGATATTATGTAAATAATATTGATGATGTGTTGAAGGAATATCCTTCCTTCCGTAGGCTTTAGTAAGCCCCTTTATAAAATTTAAATATACTTGTGACACTTTCCAGATGCTTCTGGTGTTATTGTACAGGGGTACCTGGTGACAGCACTAGGATCCAGGTTCCTCTATCAAGGAATAAAATATTGAAATTGAAATTGAATTGGAAGACAATCGCTCTTCACAGCCTTGTGTCTATGGTAAAGTTGATTTCACCTCAATTTTTTTTCCACTAAAAACACTGTTCAGGAATGCATGTCCAATGTATAGTGAAGACTTTCTGTATTTGCAAAGTGAATTGTGCATATAAAAATTATGAAGTACAGTATTGTATATATATAATAATTACCTTAACAACTGGATTGTCCCAAGCTGGATCATATATCAATGGATCACACTGTGTTGTATCAACTTCTGCTGTGATCTTTCCATTCTTTAGTCTAATGATGATGAATTTGGAGAATGCTGCTTTCATTGCTGACTGGAAAGCAAATCTGGAAAGAATTAATGTGAAGAAAGATGAATACTTGCCATTGTTTCTCTCTTGATAAAAAAACATTATGTGAGTTATATAAGAAATAATATTTAATGTACAGTATTATATAATATACTCTACAAAACATTAAAAAACAATGTGACCATTACATTTATCCCCAGTATTCGCGATGGTTACATTCTTGGAAATTGTCGCAAATCGTGAATTCGCGAATACTGATTTTAATATCTCATGGAAAAAATGGGGTATAGTACTGCTGCAGAAAAAGTGCTCCTACACTCCCTGCGGTAACCGGTGACTCCAAACGGCCAACTTATAGAACCTATAGCAAACCTGTCCACCAATTACATGTCATTACTCGATCAATATCCATTCATTCATAAACAGAAATAAAACTACTGTGACAGAGCTGTTTGGAGACACGGGTTACCACAGAGGGTGTAGGAACACATTTCCACAACTGTACCATGGCTACCAATATTATCATATTTGTTAAAACTTTCATATATGATGCAGATATTTATATGGAGTAAGTTTTTTGTAACAAAAACAAATAAATTTTAACAAATAATTGTTCTCTATTAGTATAATTCTAGTCTGAGTATGTAAATGTGCTTCCCATAGGACATAAATGACTCATGATATTACTTGTATAGACTACTGAAGTAAAACCATTTTCTCTATTACTACAGAGAAAGAGAGCAAAAATAAGAAAACTGTACTGTAAGAAGTTTTATTATCTCTAAGTTTTTGCTGCCATTTTCCTGGCCAGTACGGGGAGCGCACGAATTTTGTGGCCTGCAAGGTGTCTCTCTTGTCCCAGGAGGCTGGCCCACACGCGCCCCAGCTCACTCCGCCTCAGTCCAAGATAAAGAGTTGTCCGTCTAGCGCGTGTGCTACTCTGATCTCGTAACAACTGTACTCCTCATGCTTGTGATGGCTCCCAAACGCCCACAACTACTTTCGTCCAGCTGTGGGAAGGCGCCACACAAGTGAAGAGAGAAAAGAAGGTCATGACCCTTGTGGAGAAGAAATAACTGCTGGACAAACTTAGGAGCGGCCAAAGCTTTGCCGCGTATGGCATCAACAAATCAACTGTCCGTTACATTAAGAAAAGAGAGAAGGAAATACTACAGGGCATTTCAACATAGTGACAGTTAAAAAAGGTAAGAGTGGCTGGGAGTGAATACATACACTGGTTGATTACGAGTTGTTAATCATTTTTATAATGATTGGGACTGGGCTGTTCTTATAGCATGTGTTTGTGTATATCTACACACACACACACACATATATACAATACAGGTAATGGTAGATCCTGCTGTTATATGGCATCACAAAAATTGTGACCAAGTCCCAGGTTGCTGATCGGACTTTTTGCCTCATTTACACACGATTGCAGTCTCAATTGTTACTCTTACTACTGACAACACAACATACATATCAGGTACTCCACGACTTACGACCTACTCGACTTACGACAACCCGGATATACGACTGCTGCAGTCGTACTTTTTTTTTTCAAATTACGTATTTTCGAGTCCCGACGTTAGTGATTGTGCTGTGTACTGACATATTTTTTGTTTGTAATTCCCTTTAAAATGGCTGGCAAGCGTAAAAGTGAGAGTTCTCGTGGTGCCGAGAAGAAAAAGAGACACCTATTTTAGATTTTCTATGTATTACAGTGGTCCCTCGGTTAAAGAATGGTTCGATTAACGAAATTTTGTTTAATGAATTACCTCCCACAAGGATCTTCAATTACGTTAATGAACAAAACTTCGATTACCGAAATCCTTACGACAAACACGTTTTGTTGTGAGCATCAGCTGATCAGGTGATGGGCTAGTTGATAATTCAGTAATCTGTTCTATGTTTACATTCGTTTCCAGTGGAGTAAATATCAAGAATGTTGTGCTCTTTAATAGTTTTGCATTTTTTTATACAGTTTTACCCCGCTTAACGCGCTTTCACTTAACGCGTTTTCGCATATACGCGGTGCCTTGCCAAAGCTGAACTTTCACTTAACGCGGGTTTTTTCCACATATACGCGGTGAGTGTCCGAGACGCTATTTTTAGATTTGCCCCACCCGCCACCCTGCCTGACTGCCTGTTTTAGCTCATAAAATTCATACAAATTACCAGGCCAGAATATAATTTACATTGCTGGAATTCTTATAATTTGGTGATCATTTTGAATATAAACATCATATATTTTGCTTTAAACTTACAATTTTTAGATAAAAATTTTTCTCTAGGTAACTATGGTATCTTTTGTCCAAAATATATGACATTTATATTCAAAATATTCCTGGTCTTACAAGGAATCCAGCAATGTCAATTATATTATCCTAACTTTAGTTTGAGGTATTATTTATTAAAATTTAGTGGTTATCCCACACATCTCCTTGGGACGGTTGGTGGGGGGTGGGGGGGAGGGAGGGACCAACCGACCATCTGTTACCGTGTGAAGAATTATTATTTTTTTTTATTAACTGAAGATATTTGTTTTAGCTCATAAAATTCATACAAATTACCCGGTCAGAATATAATTTACATTGCTGGAATTCTTATAATTTGGTGATCATTTTGAATATAAACATCATATATTTTGCTTTAAACTTACAATTTTTAGATAAAAATTTTTCTCTAGGTAACTATGGTATCTTTTGTCCAAAATATATGACATTTATATTCAAAATATTCCTGGTCTTACAAGGAATCCAGCAATGTCAATTATATTATCCTAACTTTAATCTGAGGTATTATTTAATACTAAATGTTAAAAACTCTGGAAGGGAGGATTGGTGGGGGGTGGGGGGGAGGGTTGGGACTGACCGCGCGGTTGGAAGAGGGGGGGAGGCAAGGTGGGGTACTTTGATTGACAGATAGTGTCGTGAAGATTATTTTTTTTTTATTAACTGAAGATATTTGTTTTAGCTCATAAAATTCATACAAATTACCCGGTCAGAATATAATTTACATTGCTGGAATTCTTATAATTTGGTGATCATTTTGAATATAAACATCATATATTTTGCTTTAAACTTACAATTTTTAGATAAAAATTTTTTCTCTAGGTAACTATGTTATCTTTTGTCCAAAATATATGACATTTATATTCAAAATATTCCTGGTCTTACAAGGAATCCAGCAATGTCAATTATATTTTCCTAACTTTAGTTTGAGGTTATCCCACACATCTCCTTGGGACGGTTGGTGGGGGGTGGGGGGGGAGGGAGGGACCGACCGACCATCTGTTAGCCGGCTGTGTAGTGTGAGAGGGGGAGGGAGTTGAGTCCATTATTTGAATGGACATTAACTTGGCGACTGTATTTCTCTATTTCTCTTAAGTATTAATTGTGTGCATGTACCATCATAAAATTAAGATGTTATTTTTACTACAACATAGGTATGTGCCTTCAAAAAGTGGAGTTTGGGGGTCGGGCCGGTTTCTATTGGAATTAATCCCATATGTTCTATTGTTCACTTAACGCGGATTTCACTTAACGCGGGACCCTCTGGGTTCAATTGACCGCGTTAAGTGGGGTACAACTGTACAGTATTAAAATTATTAGTCATTTTAACATTTATTTAACATATTGATAATATATGCGGTACAGGGAACTAGTTTTTTGTGCGCTTATCAGAAGCTTGACTCAGCCACAAGGCGTCAGTTGGGTTTTGTTGACAGTGGAGTGAACATATATTTTGTTGGTGTCTTGAATATTTTTGCATTTTTCATTGAAATTATTGGTCATTCTGAAATTTAGTTAACATATTGAAAATATATCGTGCAGTGTAAAGGCCTGGGACTTGGGGATAGAAATCCCTTACCAGACTAATCAGGATCTTAAAAAAGGAAAGCCATGGACCATGGTTTTCTGAGGAATAACAAACAACCGTTTGAGATTGACATCTCTTTACTATAAAAATATAACACAAAACTCTGACACCACTCAACAAACATCAAATAACAATTACGGGAGTCAAACAATTAATGCAGTTAACAGTTAATGGAGTTAAACATTTAAAGGAATCAAACAATTAAAGGAGTCAAACAATTAATGGAATCAAACATTTAATGGAATCAAACAATTCATGGAACCAAAAAATTAAAGGGAGTCAACAACTGATAGAATCAAACAATGAAAGGGAGTCCGCAATTAATGGAATCAAACAATAAACAGATATTTCCTACGGCAGCGGCCCTGGGGAAGGTTCTGGAATGCAGTGATCCACTCTCAGGGGGATGGTCCTCACTCGAGCGACAGATGTCTTGATATAGCAGGAGAACACCGGGGCACAGACGGAGGAGATGAACTGACGGTCGTGGTATGGGATACTGTACAGAGGATTGACAGTTGATAGGTGAAGGTCTGGGGACACAGCCCACAAGTCCCGAGCCTTTGATGGGATCACAGCCACAATTTGACGAACAGCGAGGAAGGTAGTGACTGTACTTGGCGGCTGAGTAGGATCTGAGCCGGTGACACTGGTAGCAGCGACGTTCTTACCTCCGTCCAACCCCCCCAAGTGGGAGTCGTGCCAGCAAGTGAGCAGCGGTAACGAGCAGGAAGAGCGTTTCCGCCCTTACACGCAGTGCAGTGTTGTTTTAAATAAAATAATCTTGAATTACACCTAGTGAACTTAAAATTTTATTGGTGAAATGACGGCGTCAAGCATGGGTCCCCTGAAAGATGATTTCTCTTCTCCCTTCTCCTCCACCCCCACTTCTAATTCCCATCATCAACCAGGAACCTTCTACATACTGTACACACTGCAAAGTAAGTGTATTTTACTGCATTTTCTTTTACTTTGTATGTACTTTTCGGTAAGCTGGAACCAATTACCCAATATCCCATTGAAACAATGGATTCGGTTAACAAAATTTTTGTTTAACGAACGACCCTCTGCAACGAATTGTGTTCGTTAACCGAGGGACCACTGTACATATATATACTGTAGTCCAGAATGCGACGTCTAGCTTTATGCCTAGCA